CCAGTTCTCAGTGTGCAGCCCCAGCCACAGTCTGTGGTTAATGCAGACCCCTTTATCTGAGGGAATTCCTCTCTGTATGTCAGCCAGATTCTGGAAATAAAATCTTTTCGGAACTCCTCAACATTTCCTGAAATCTCTGTGTTGATTTTATCAAAATTGGCCCCATCTGTAGAGAGCTCACCAGATTCTGGAAGGCAAAGCACAGTTTAAGTTATAACTTGGTAGGGCACTTCTATTAAAAAGCAAGTAACAGATATACAATATTCAATTAGAAAACAGGGCAAATTTACAAAAAGTGACAATCACTTCAAATATAAGAAAGGAAAATTGGAAAGCAAATGTAACAGAAATGGGCCAGATGAAAAAAAAAAAAGGAAAAATAAAAGAGCAATGTAGACATCACCATGCCAGTGAAATCACTGACCTGTAAGTAACTGCTTAATTCACCCAACTGTAAATGGCCAAATAGAGAGAGAGAGACTCAGAAAACCGTACACTGGAAAATGATAATGAAGGTGTTGGTGTAGTGACTGCTGGTACAGGTACTGTCCTCGTTTCAACCAAGAAGTTTTTAGAAAAAAAATCTCAGATTGATGGTAAATGAAGTAAAGTGCAAATTACAACACTAATATTCACAGAAAGAACAAGGCTTCAGTGCAAAATCTGAATAAATCAGGATGGGTAGCATTAGTGGTGGACATTTCAATGAGTATTTTCTAAGCTTTTCATATTTACATTTTGAATTCGATCGTTGCTAATGACAGTCTTTCTAGAAAATTAAAAAATCATCCACAGACCTCCTGTTGAGTAAGACTAGAATAAGGGAAGTGCTCTGTACTCACCCTCAGTTTTGAAGTGGTAACATTTTCCCAGCAGAAAGACTGGAGAGTTTCTACTGAAGTAAGTTTTTGTTTTCAACACCCAACCTAAAACAGATGCGAAACAAATACAAATTTGTGACTGAAGTATTCCAAAAAACAATTGCTGACAGCATCTAGTTAAGCCAAAGGTAACCTCTGAAAGAGGAATAAAACAAAAAAGTATTGAAATGGGGTTTTGGTCTCACAAAAAATTACATATAGGGTGCAGTGGCTACTGTTCCTCTTCAACCACGTGGTAGCCTTAAAGAAGGTAGAAAACAAAGTATCTTTTCATCTTGCCAGACATCTCTAAGGCTCAGTTATGAGAATTAACAAAGTTTATCAGAAACCTGATGGTAAATCTGAGCAACCTCAGTTCTAAAGGGAAAGCAAAATAATCAAGGACAGATTAGTAAAGGGCACACTTGAAAATCTGGTTCTTCATAAATAAATTATTGATGTTCAGCTGTGGAAAAGGACATTACTCAAGGGTGTGAAGTAGATTCTTCAGTGGAGTTTGTATCTCTCACACTGTCCTATGTTTTCCAGAAAAGTACATTTAAAAATAAACTTTATGCAGATGATTCCATATTATCCCTGTTTAAAAGTCTATGCAAATCAAGCATCATTTACATAATATATTTACTGTTTTCAAAGTAAGTAATTTAAAAAGAAATTATGCAAATCTATTTGAAAAATGAAAAGCTAAAGAAGTTTTTTAGTCGGGCTGTTTACAGTATCAAAGAAAAAACTGTTTCAAAGGCCATACTGTATTTTTATTATTAATTAGTTATGTTTCTGAATCATGATCCCATTCATGTCAACAAGAAACATTCCATTCCTTTCAATGGAGACAGGATCTTACCAGACACTGCTCCACTTACTGTATTTCATGTTGTGCCATGCAGACATAAACTTTGATTTTATCTTTTCTACTTCATCTGTCCCTGTGGCCTCCATATTCAAATCCTAGAGAAAAAGCCATCGCTGTCTTGTAAGGCTTTCAGTTCTGCTGCTGGAAAAACACAAAGATAAACACATCCATGGGCACAGCATCCCCCACTCAGGTACTTAAGCACAACATGGCCAGAAACAGCAATAAACTCTCAGAATCCTCCACTACCAGACACTGAGAAGCAATCCCACATTCCATGAATAAGTAATAAAATAATTTAATTCCAAAAACACACCAATAAAAGCGCTACACAAAGCTAAATAAAATATAATGTTCTCCAACAGCTCTCCCTTGCACAGCAAACTGATGTAGAGCACATAACCTGTGCTGGCACACAAGCACACCCATTTTAATCAGCAGTGAGATGAAGATGCATCTCACTAAATAGAATAGATGCTGTTCTTTTCTGCTGAATACAATACAACAAACACTTTTTGTCTTTCAAATGGGGCAGGTGGACTATGGAGGGAGTTCTGTCTCATTTTACCAGATTTCTTAGAAACAGGGATAAAAGTAGTATATGTTCTGCCTATATTATTACCCACTTAGGTTGCTTTTAAGGTGAAATCTGCCCTTTCTGTAACAAGAAATTTGCTATTAATTAACAGCTTCCTTCACCATGTGTATTCTGTCAGTGGTTTACTTTAAATTACTTGATACAGAAAGTTTTCTGGATGATATCTGGCAGCCCAAATCCTTGCACAGACATCTGAAAAATTAAGAGCTCTGGCCTCAACAGGAAGTCCTGATAACAGCAGAGGATGATGCGAGCAAATGTGAATTATCTCGTCTAATTAATAAACTTGGGCCAGGAGACAACCTCCTTCCTTTAAAAGGAGAATCTAGAACTGTATTTACCTTTCTATGTGTTATTCCCCACTGAACTGGGATCAAAATCAGGACACAGATAAACTCTGTCGCTTCTCTCCACCGGGAGCCCAGTTTAAGTAAAACCTAATCATTGGCAGTGTAATTAAAGAGAGGGTGAAGATGTCAGAGTGGCAATATCGTCAGAGCCTGAAGGTGCTACACAGATCCACTGTTTCACTCTGCTGCCCAAGCCCTCTCTAGCATGTTTTCCCATTATTCCAATCATTATTTCACAAAAATCTGCTTTTTGACAGAAAAAGAAGCAATGCCACCTCACAAACGTGGGGTAAGTCTACATTTTTTTTTGTCAATGAAAATAAGAAATGGCTTACAACCCTGTTATGACTGGTCTTGAGTCAAGCTGGGATTGTGTAGGAGAGGGACGAAAAAGACAATTTTGAACTGGGTTTTAACTTCTTGCCTTTTTTCCCCTCTTTTTTCTTTAGGAAGAAAAGCAAAGACTGTCTATATCATCAGCTCTAGATGGCAAAACCAGTAAGATGAACTTCTCCAGGATGTGTGTTTGGTCCTGTCTGTCCCCACATGATCCATCAACAACAGTCATTTATGTAGAGGCCACTGATTGTCTTAAAAGCCAATTCCTATAAAAGCCTCCTCTGGCTAAAATTAGAAATGAAACAAACTCTACAGTTCCGAAAGCGCCTGAAGGCAAAATTATTTAAATGAGAAAGCTGCTCATTTTCCTCCAAAAGACAATGGTCAATGCAGCACATTTATCTTCCCTCCAGTTACATTTCTTCCCTGGCAGTATACTAAAGATGCAAAAAGGGCCCAAGAAGAATGGTAACACAAACCAGACACACTTATTCCACTGGGAAAACAAAGGCTCTTCCCATCAACAGAAGGCGGCATCAGTAGGAGTTCCACCGAAATTAATGGAATAGCATCAGGAGATGGTCCCAGTGAATAGAGATCCAAGCCCAAGGGGCACAAAATCATTAAATTATTAAATCGAAAGCCAATGCTTTCATACTGATAACTCTTGTAAGAAGTTATCTGAATACACATTCTCAGGACGATGTTCCCTCATGGAGCAGCAGGACATGCCTGTAATGGAACTCCTGACCCCTCCGAGCCTCCCCTGCCCACCCTCCGAGGGGGACGGTTTGTCAACAGTGATGGAGAAACACCCCAAAACTCCCCGATAACAGGATTTGTTTTCATTAACAGTAGAAAAGCAACGCAACCTGCCCATGCAACCGCAATGGGAGATGAAATTAAATGAATGAAGCCTAAACGTGATAATTATGAAACGAATTATCTCTATTAATTAGAAATTAAAGCCCTTTTGCTTTGGATTTCTACCTGGGAAGAACCTGAACCAGTGGCAGCGACAGTCGGCGAAACCCACACGGAAGAACGACGGCGAGGAATTCCCGGAGGTCATTTTTAAGGAGCTGCAAACATACATGAAGACAGTTAAAAACGATACTTTGAAGCTGTCGGGTGAAAAAAACAAAACAAAACAAACCCAGATTATTTTTTTCCCCCTTAAATCCTGCAGCAGAGACGGAACGCTTTACCCACGGAGGATTCACAGCCAAGCAGGAGCCCCTACCCACCCCGACCCCACAGGACACATGCGAGCCCGAGCCGGCACCGCGGAGGGTCCGTCCCGCAGCCCCCCGCCCTTCGCTCACCCCTCACGGAGCCGCCCCCGCCATCCCGGGGCCGCCCGGGGAGCCAGCGGCCTCCCGGCGCTGCGCCTGCCGCAGCGGAGCGGCGCGGGAACTACAACTCCCGGCGGGCACCGCGGCGGGGGCGCGGCGAGACGGGCCGCGCGGAGCGCGCGGGGCACGCTGGGAGTTGTAGTCCAACGGGAGTGCGGCTGGGAGGCGAGAGGGAGGAAGAGGAGGGAATGAGGGAGGAAGAGGAGGGAGGAAAAGGAGGGAGGGAAGAACAGGATGGAGGGGGGCGGTGCAGTGGAGTGGAGTGGAGTGGAGTGGAGTGGAGTGAGGGGATCGGGGGGGGCGGGCTGTGGCTGGAGGCGAAACCTCAGGAAGGCGAGCGAGAGCGGGAAGCCCGGCCCGTCACGGGATCGGCAGCTGCCCTCTAACACCATTTCTCTCTTTGGGGTTTTTTGGGAGGATTTTTTTTGTTTTGTTGGGGGTTTTAGGTTGGGTTTTGGTGGTTTTTTTGTGGTTTTGTTTGGGGGTTTTATGTGGGTTTTTTTGTTGTTGTTTTGGTTTTGGGGGTTTTTTAATGGGTTTTTGTTTTGATTATTCACTGTATTTATTGATTTTTTTTTTTTATTTCGGTATCTTTTTACTCTATTAGAGTCAAAAAGAGACTCTATTAGAGTCTAAAAGAGATCTTCCCAGATCTCCACACTCCGGAGGACTTCAGTCTCCAGCCCAGCCCGTGCCAAGATTGTGCTCCGATTCAATTCACCACTTTATTTCTTCTCTGAAACACATGGGAGCCACTGCATCTCCTCTCACTCCCCTGAGGGATTTGGGGGGGGGGGGGGGGTTAGCGTTTTTTAAAGTAGGTTCTTCATTAATCTGTTTGTCTTAAGCTGCTTAAAAATACTCATTGGGTGTATCAGGAGCCAAGGGCTTAAAAAAAAAAGTGCAGGATTTGTGAAGGATTGACTTGAATTTCTCGACTGTCTGGAACTGGCATTACAGCTCAACATCCTATAAAAGGATGATGTTCCTGCTTTCTTTGTGTACTCACCAGCCCAATTTTATGTTCATGAAGCAAAGTCAGGTGTTTTTTTCCATTTTGTGATTTTACTGCCTTCTGCTGGTCAGAAATGACCAGACTGAGTTTAATATTTTATAATCAGCACATGATCTAAAATTTAGCTTCAGTGCAAATACCAACATTAGATGTTTTGTGTATTTCCCAGTGGGTTTTTTCGGCAATCTCATGGATATATTTCACATAGTAGGGTCAGTCAGTGAAGACAATCGTAGGTATTAATATGCAAATCAGACAACATCATGTTCCAAAGGTTCTGCCCATTGGCTTGAAGTGGGGATGTAGCAGATCACCTTTCTAATCCTTCCCTGCCTTTCAGCTTACTGCTTGCCCTTTGCTCCAAGCAAAGATAAAGATTTAAAAATAAAACCCAAGTTGCTGTTTGTTGTAAACAAATTGTGGTCCCATGATAGCGGGTGATCTATCAGCACAGAAGGAAACGGGCCTCCTGCAACCAGAATTTCATGATCTTTTTCAGGAATAATAGTTGTTTAAAGTTTTATCTTTGCTTTTATTCTCGAAGACAAAGATGAATGTGCTTGTCTCTCTGTGTATGGGCTTGAATGTGGAGAGCTGAGTAGATAACGTGGCTTGGATCTGGCTAAATGTTGAACAAAGAATTACCCAGTTCATCAAAGGAAGTGGCTGTTCCCTTGCCTGAAATCAGTTGCCTGCACCTTCCTGCTCTGAAATGGAATAACTATGCCCTGATGCCCTGAGTTGACACAACATGCCATCTGGATATACACTGGAAATCCCTCGGGCAGGCAGGTTATGAAAAGGAAGATATTTATTTTCTGCTTTTTTTTCATGCTAAACAAAACTTTGGTTGCCAAATAATCACTCAGATAATACAAAGAATTGTGTGTAAAGAGAGAGTTTCCTTCACATCCACTAATTCCTATTTCTGTGGGAAAGATTTGCAAGGGGAATGGGACAGAACTTCTTCGTTCAACAAACTTCTAACAAATGTCACAGAGTTCACACTTTCAACATTTTAATGGCACGAAGGCCATGCCAACCATCCTTGAGCTCCAGCTGTGCTAAATGGATGTAGGATAGTAAGGAAATATTTAAAATCCATGTTCATGGGAAATACAATTTATTTTTGCTTTTTTTAATAGGTAGACGCCAAATGGCAATGGCAAGACTTAAAATTAGAGGAGATACGCTCTGATTTATGGAGATACACAACATTATCCACCAAATACTGCAGAGTGGTAAGAGAACACTGGGCAGTGGGGAATGAAGCTCCTACTCCTGTATCTCCCACTGTCCTACTTGATCTGGGAATTCATCTGAGCACCATCAATAATCTGTGATATATTTAGAAAACCTCATTAAACATTTGACCAAATGTGCTTTCTCAAACACCCGTTTGGCTGCTGTCTGAGCAGAGCAGACCCTGGGTCAGAGAGCTTGAGAGAAGGGAATTTTTCCTCATTTATTTTTAGTTTCATTTCCTAGGGAAGTAAGCCATCTGTGATCTGTTTCCCTCTGGAAAGTTTTGAAGCTGCTCTGAAGTTTAAGTTTTCAGAGCCTCAGAGATACTCAATACCTCCAGTTTTTGTGGAAGTAAAAAGAGACCCTGGAACAGGATAAGAGAAAAACCATGGGAATCCAGGCTGTGTGAACTTGTGCCCCATCCTTTCAAGCAGCAGTGAGAGTGGAAGGGGCAGTGTGAGCCTGCATTGCTGCTCAGGTGGTTGTCTACTCAAAGTACCCAGCACACTTCTGCTTGTACCACTTAATCCATCCACAACCAGATTTCTTTATCCCAGGATTAGGTAGGGAAGAGGAGGCTTCACCAGGATACTTGTAAGAGTCTGTGCCCAGGCTGCCCTTAATGTAAGATCTTGGTTGTATTTCCTCTTGGAAGAGGAAATAAAGAGCTCATTAGTGGCATTTACAGAGTGTTAAACTGGGAGAGATCAAAAGCTGTGCTGGAGTAGAAACATAAACTGCCTGAAAATGATAAACATGAGCAGAAATAGATGGAAGCTCAGTTGGGAAGACTGTGAGTCCTCCTCTGAGGAGATTGAACTTCATGCACCCATCTACTAAAATGAAGAACTCTGAAGGTAAATAATTTCAGAAGACAAAGAATAAAGGCAAAAGGGAAGCTGACACCAAATACCACCAGGCTGTAGAAAGGCTGTAGAAAGGTTAGGACAGTGCTGTGGATCTGTGAAGGAAATAATATAAATGTGAGGGATGTAGCAAAGGCTGCAGGCATTTGGAGAGTCCTCACTCCTCCTTTCCTCTCCTGGTTTCTCATTCATCCAACAGAATTTGGGCACTGGGCAGACAAGGCTACTCTTTTTCTGAGAACAGCAACATCCTCTCTCTTGCCATACATGTCTAGAGAAGATCCCTCTGCTTGTGCAGTTCACATTACACATGGAGTTCCTTGTCCTTAAACACATTATTTGGCAAAAGAAGCAGAGATTTGGCCCTTCGCGAGTGTGACTTGTTCCCCATAGCTGCCAGGAGGTGGCTCTCTGCATTTGCAGTCCCTGTTTACTGTTTTGTTTATGGAATTAAGTTGGACACGTTTTCCGTGGAAAATGTTTTCAGTGTGTTTGCCTTGAGGAAGTTTACGTAAGGAGAACGAGGAAGCCATGGGCTGAGTAAATGGTTTGCTAAAAAACAAGGCACAGAGCGGTTCACTTTTGTCAGAATGTTTTATGGCTACAATCCAAAGGGATTTTTCTTGTGCAGGACCTAATCTTTTCATTGTAAGATTACGTATATCAGGCTCAAGGAGTTACATCTCTGTTTGTGGGATGCATTTACCAGATTTGATTATAGCTGAGTAAAAGTCATTCTCAATAAAAAAAAGCATTTTAGTCACATGTTTTAAAGGATGCACATGGTTCATGGACAGGTACCCTGGAGAATTGGTCAAAATGCTTCTTCATTCCCACCTCTTCAGTGTAAGAGCCGTTGTTCTACAGCTCCAGGTGGAAGATCCCTGTGTCCACGCCATGAACTTCAGGTAGGTGCTCAGCCCAAATTCAGCTCACAGTTGTAGACTCAGTGGTTCATTCCTCAGCTTTTTGTTACATGGTTTATCAGAGAAGACTAAAAGGTGACTTTCAACGTGACAGTCCATGTCTTGGTAAGTTGCTGGGCTTTTCCCCCAGCCCCCAAATCAGCAAGCTGACTGAAAGGGAAGTGTAACAACTGCAGTGCAGACCATCACCTTTCACAGTGTTCCTCAACTCCCAAGGTTTTTTTGTTTTCTTTGCTGTGGTGCAGTGCTAATGCATCAATTCAAGTGAGGATCACTCCCAGCTTCTAAGATACCGTTTCCTTGGAGCAGCAAATCCTTGTTAATGATGGCTGCGTAGATGGACTAACTCCATTTTGGAAGCAGTGATGTCTCTCAAAGGCTGATGCACCGTTGGCATCCAGTGTAAAACAAATCAGATTCCTTCTTTGCTTCCTAAAACATGGTAAAGGATTACAGTGTGTTAATGGAGAGTAACTATTCGGTATCCTCATAATGCTGATAAAGTTCCAGGGTTTAAATTGGTTGCTAGAAATATGTAGTCTCTGTCCAAACATTAATTTAAATTAACTTGGGCTGTCTGGAGGTGTTAATTGCAGTGTACGCAGTCCCTCCACTGAGAGAGGTCTTTCTTTGTCTTCACCCTCATTCTGAGATACCAGACACCCTTGAGGACAATACAGAAGCACAAACAACGTCATGAAAAATAAGCAGAGCAATACTCCAAATACCTCATCTATTGCATACAATTTCACCCCAGTAAAAGAAAATAGTTCCATCTTCCGCAGGAAAAACTTGCACACAACAGTTGTTTCTGAATCAGAGGGAGCTGTTAGTTCCTAAAGAGATGCCTGGAGAAATTTTTTTGGCAGACTGAAATTCCATGTAACCATGTAACGGGTCTCTGTGCTCAGTTGGTCACATTCTCTTCTTTGCAAAGCTTGAGTTTGTTTCTTCAGACAAAGCATTTCCTTCTATTAATTCACTTCTAAGATGAGGAAACAAGAGGCAGGAGGGTTATGTGGCTCTGTGCCTGTCAGTGGCAGCACTCACCCTAGTACCCAAAATAACACCTCCTCCTCAATCACTGACTTACCAGGGATATGGGGGCAGGATTTTTAACATGAATTGTAATGTTTGGCATTATTGGATTTATAATGGTAAAAGACTGACTACATCTTTTTTTTCCTCATATTTCTTCACTTTTTCCTTGACTTGTTTTGGTTAATGCTTCATGCACTGCAAAATTCAGACAATCTAGAGAAGCTCTTGGTTCTCTGTACAAGATTATGTGTACATTTCTACTAACCTCAGTGATCTCTTACTATTTGAAGTTACCTGTAGATTTTTGCTGGGCTATTACTATCTGAAAAGTAATGAGGAATCTGTTATTTTCCTGGAATTCACTTGATGTTGACTATTAACTGAGGAATTTTGTTCATATTTAACCCAATTATATTGTCTGGAGCTCATCTGGCCCAGCTCTGAGCCACAGAGAAAGTCAAGGAAGAGCAAGACACAGATGGATGAGCAAAGGTGACATCAAAACTCAGTGCCCACAGCTTAACCAAGGCCTTCTCTCTGTGGTAGCAACTGAGAGGAGGGGAAAATGAAACCTAAAATCCAAGAGGTCTCTGGTGGACCTTGGATACTTAGTGCTTGTTTGTCAGGGCTGCTGGGGCTGGGCTGCTCTTTCCACCTTCTGGCAGTGAGAAGAGTTTCCCTTTCTGAACTGCAGGATTCCCAGTTTCTGTCTCAAAGGGTTAGGCAGGGACATTTTGCCTTAGGACAGGGCTAAATTAGCCCTTCTGTGTTTCAGACTAATGCCATTTTGGAAAGGAAATTCCGTACAGGATGAAGGAAAGACAAACATTCCTGGTAGTCCCTCATGCTTTGGTCTGTTCTTGTGAGCACACACACTGTGTATGAGAATTTGGTCATAGAATCCTGTGTTTGGGGTTGGAAGTGACCCTGAAGATCATCTCCTGCCATGGACAGGGACACCTCCCACTAGACCAGATTGCTCCAAGCCCCATCCAACCTGGCCTTGAACACTTCTAGGGATGGGGCAACCACAATTTATGTGGATATAAGAAGGTAAACAGCTTATCCCATCCACTCTTTGTGATGGAATTCTCTGATGTGCAATTCTCCACGGAGGCAGGAATTCCAGAGCAAAAGTCTTTTGTCTTGGCAGATATTGTGGGATATGTTCTCCCTTCCCCTTTGGAGAAGAACATCCCTTTCTCAGTGTGCAGAATTGGTCTTTGCTTCTCAGGATCTCCATCTGTGTAAAGAACAACAGCACATTTCTGTCAAGGGTCACAATCTTACCCACATGGGATTCACTTGGTGTGTGCACAGAGCCTGACTAAATCCACTGAGGTTACTCACACGTATATATTTGGAGATTTGGGGGCCTGGCATTCCCTGTGTAAACACACACAAACAGGAAAGCAGAGTAATTATATGCAGCTGGAAATCAGTGGCTCCTGCAAGGGGAAGAATTAGTGTCCTCAGTGTGTGGGAAACATTCACACAATGCAAGCAGATGGAGTGGGGTGAATTAGCACTCCTGCTTTTGGACACTTCCTGAGTTACTATTAATAGCTCCCTGGTTTAGATCAAGGCACAGCCTATGCAGGGTAGCAGTGACTTGGAATTAACTGCTAGAACGTGTCCTATGCTTTGAAGTTCCAAAATAGTGGGGTTTTTTAACTCCCCATTCTCTACTCCTCTTTCCATTGTGATGACCCCAAATACAGCATGTTTGGAGAGACTGGTAATAATGACTTGTTTGGATGGGAAGGTGGGTGTTACACTTTTCCAACCGTCTTCTGAATCATCATTAGGGATGAGGTTTAGCCTTTCTGAAGGAAAAGTTGGTACTATACAGGGCAGGACAGACTGAGAGCCCAGTGGTGTCCCTGCAGGCAGGACTGCGGTGGTCAGTGGTGTCCTCAGTGCCATGCAGGGTGGGTATGTCAGTGGCCAAAGAGACCCAGATGTGCCACGCAGACCTGTAACACCCAGTGAGGTCTTGAGCTGTGCCAGGGGAGGTTCAGGTTGGACATCAGGAGGAATTTCTTCACAGAAAGGGTGATCAGACATCGGAAGGGGCTGCCCAGGGAGGTGGTGCAGTCCCCATCCCTGGAGGCGCTTAAGGTAAGACTGGACATGGTACTCAGTGCCATGGTCTAATTGACAAGGTGATGTTTGGTCACAGGTTGGGCTCGATGATCTCAGAAATCTTTTCCAACCCAGTTGGTTCAGTGGTTCTGTGAGGTGCCCCCAAGGGTCGGCACACACGGGACCCCTGCTGCAGTTTTGGGTGAGGGCCGGGATGAGATGCTGGGCGGCGTGAGCCGGCTGAGGAGCCTTTTTCCCAAACCACCAGCAGATCTTCATCAGTGCCGGGAACAACCCCACACCCCCTACGTTTTCACATGGGAATAAAGCGGCCCCGCGGTGGGGACGGGGCGCGCTCTGTGGAGCCCGTCCGAGCCCAGGGGAGGTCAGAGGGACGGGGTCGGGAATGGGGACGGTCCCTCCCCGCCGCGCCGGGCCCGCCCGCCCCGCCGTATATCTGCGAGGAGCGGCCCCTGCCCGCGGAGGGGGAGGAGGCGGGCGGGCGCGGCGAGCGCCGGGGGTGGGAGCTGCGCGGGCTGCGCCGCGCGGGTGCGCGGCTCGGCGGAGCATTACGGCGGCCGAGCGCTGGCCGGGCCGGCAGCGCGGAGCCCCAGCGCGGCCATGGCCGAGCGCCGCGCCTTCGCGCAGAAGATCAGCAGGTACC